TGGGTATGACTGGCTGATGACGGCTAATAAGCCAGAAATGGCCATTCCGGTCTCCCTTGTCTTTGTCGGTATCACCTTCTCAACATATATCACTAGTCGCTGTGCGACTGCCTGCGAGGGTTTAAGTATGAGCCCCAAGGCGCAACGGAACGAGCATGTTCCGTAACCTGATCGGTGAGCGCCCACTATCGTAGTATATATATATATATATCGCGTTCATCATCTCCCGAAGAAGACGAAGAAGAAGAGAGGGCGAATTCATGGACCATATTGTTTTCGAACTGACGTTTCGGAAACTTCCTCGTTTCCATCATCAGAGTAGCGTAATTGTTGCACTTTGCGTTCTTGAATTGTTCAGTCTTGCCGCTTGCCTCGTATTATAGCCGTGCTGGACGCACGAACTTTGACCTGCCTGTTTGCCGCTGACTGGCTTAGACCTCCCCGAGGCTGACCGTTGACAGGCCTGCGTGACCTTTGTTCCCTTTGGGGTCGGCGTAATTGTGGTCAAATCAACGTGCCTCTTGGCCTCCCCCACGTCAGCCGGTGGACTGATCGGTCGTTGCTGTTCAGGTAAGCATCATTCAGCTTCGCGAGCGCATCGATGAGACAGTGTTCGGCTTCGGTCACATGACCTATGGCCCCCAATTCCGCTCTTTTCCGTGAGCGTTGACTCTCGGTCCCGCGTGCTCGCTTGCCTTACTGGTCCTGTTCGGACTGAGCCGAGCCTTGTACGAAGCGCCTGGTAGGCGGGATGTAGATCTATAGCTCGATTGATTGTGCCAGTCGAGGTCCAACTTTCGAGCACCAGTCTGGCCATCTTCTCATTGGCTCTACCAATTACCCTCTCTTTCTCAAAGGCAAAATCGTGGTTCAGTTCTCGTATGTGACCATAGACCAAAGACAGCTTGTCCTTGCGATTGATTGCAAGTTGGTGTTCGTGCAATCTTGTGCCGAGGCGTTTGCCCGTTTCACCAACATACCTTGCATTGCAATTTATGCATGGTATGCCGTAGACCACCGCCGCCTGTTCTGTTGTTGGTAGCGGGTCTTTGGGCTTCATGATTTGCTGTCTGATGGTGCATTCTGGTTTATGAGCCACGCCAATCCCAAAAGGTTTCAGGATTCTTGCCGTTGCCTCTGATACGTTCTTCACATAGGGTATTGAGAGCCAGAACTTGGGTTTATCTCCACTCGAACGCTCAAAATGAGGCTTTTTGAGGCAATTGCGTATGAAATACTTCGGGTAGCCGTTGGCTTTAAAAAGGGCCTGTAAGTAATTCATCTCCTCCTTCCTCCCACTGTCGTCGCTACAGTGTGTTTGAACACGTTGAAAGAGAGTTCTGACACAAATGCGTTTATGACCAACAGGGTGGTTGCTTCGGAAGTGGAGGATGCGCCTGGTATTTGTTGCCTTACGGTAAACCGTTGTCCTTATCTTCCCGTCTGTCAATCTCGTAACTTGTACGTCCGGGAAGGGCAACCGATTGTTGACTTCCTCTTCCATAGTAAACTGAATGAAGATATATATATATATATATATATATATATATACATAGATATATATGGTAGGAGGCGCTCACCGATCGTTCTTACGGAACTCACTCGTGCCGTTGCGCCTTATGGACTCTCTCTCGAGCCCAATCAGCAGCCGCACAGTTGCGCATGATATATAGGCAGAATGATACTACCGAATAGACAAGGGAGACTGGAATGGCCATTTCTGGCTTATTAGCCGTAGGGCGAATTCATGGCCTACATTGCATTCGAACCGACTTTTTGGAGACATTCTTCTTTTAAAAAGATGAAAACACGATCTCTGAGACAGTAGGTGTATTAGTCTGAACTTTCGGTTCCGTACAGGGGCTATCGTCATAGACTGTGAGAATGCGACATCAAATGAACGGTTTTTGTAGTCACGCCATGAAGGGGGGGGGAGAGATACGAGTGCAGAGGGTGGTATTCGCGACAAGTTGAGTCCCACGCCGTCTCACGGTGGCGTGACTGCGTGCACCCTTGGCTGGAAATTGGGTCTCGCCCCTTGGCCGCGGGAACGGAGCGCGTGATAACAGGGGGGTATGTCAACGTGCCTGTTGATAGAGTTGGTGTCAGACACCCAGGCCTCTAACAGTTCTCGTCCTATCTTATCGTTCCCCCCTGCTACTATCCGCGTGCTCGCGAAGTTGAATTCGTGGCCTTCCTCCAGGGTGAGAGTGGCGATCTGAGATAACGGGTCACCTCTCCGGACCGCCCGTTTGTGCTTCGTTATTCGTGAGCTAAGTCGTCGTCCGGTCCTTGTTTCTCTTATCAGAGTAGCGTACTTGCCGCTCCTGTCGGTATTGTGTTGTTCAGCCCTGCCGCTTGTCTCGTATTATAGGCGCGCTCGACTCCCGAACTTCGACCTGCCTGTTTGCCGCTGACTGGCTTAGACCTCCCCAGTGCTGACAGCTGACAGGCCTGCGTGACCTTTGTTCCCTTTGGGTTCGGCGTAGTTGTAGTCAAATCAACTTGTCTGTTGGCCTCTCTCACTCCAATCGTTGGACTGATCGGTCGTTGCTGTTAATGTGAGCAGCATTCAGCTTCTCGGGCGCATCGGTGAGACAGTGTTCAGATTTGGTCACATGAACTCTGGCCCCCAAATCCGCTCTTTTCCGTGAGCGTTAACTCTCGATTCCGCGTGCTCGCTTGATTTACTGGTCCTGTGTGGACTGATCCGAGCCCTGTACGCAGTGCCTGGTAGTCGGGATGTAGATCTATAGCTCGGTCGAATGTGCCAATCGAGGACCAACTTTCGAGCACCAGTCTGGATATCTTCTCATTGGCTTGACCAATTACCCTTGCTTTCTCAGAGGCGAAATTGTGGTTCACTTCTTGTATGTGGCCATAGGCCAAAGACCGCTTGTCCTTGTGGTTGATTGCAAGTTGTTGTTCACGCAATCTTATACCGAGGTGTTTGCCCAGTAGTAGCTAGGGTCTGCCCACGGCCTAGACCGCCGCGACATATGGACGGCAACAGGTCTGTGTACTTTACAACTGTTCAGACATTCGTATGACCTAAAGCGGTCCTTTATTGTTTTTCCCCCGCCCCGTTGGCCGCTCTGAAACCTGAAATCTTTCCGAAGTGTCGACCCTTACTTGATAGATGAAGGTCTTTAAATCAAGAATGAGTGTAAATGATCCCGCACATTCAGTTTTCTGAGGATATAATATGACTTAAATGTTCCTTACTTTATTTGGGATCGGATATGTGTTGCCATGCAAATTTGATTTCATTTAGCAAACATTAATCCAAGAGAAAAGTATAGCCTCGTTTTCGACTCTAGCCGAAACGGACAGCTATGCCCACCAGTCCTCGGCAATGCTCTGACGAGTAACGTCAGTGGACGCGGAACGGATCCTGCCGCAGAATGATTCGCATTTTGAATACTTATCAGTGATCATGAACAGGAAGAATCCGAGGTATTTCATGTTTGGCCATCCAGGAAACTGCCAGACAGCGATGCCGGGAGACTTTGTTCGGCGGTAAAACTGACGATGACGGACGTCACTGACTTTTAGTCACAGTCGTCCCTCATCAGAACGCCTGCACGATACTTGTTCAGTGATTACACTACAAGTTGCACCTTAGAAGACCATTTACTGCGCCTTAAATGTTTCCTAGGATCTCTGTTGCCAATAGACTCATCCATATTGATCCAAATGTGAACAACTCGGCGACTCGGAGGGATTCGAACCCACGCAGTAATGGGAAGGCTTTAATACAGCCAACGCTCAAAATCTGCCAAAATATCTATGAATTACGTGAGCCTAGTAGTCATCTGGTGAATTCTAGATGAATTACTGAGGAAATCCTGCTTGGGCAGCCAGCTTACTGTATCAGGTTTGGTTAATTCCAGACGTTGCAATAGGTTGGGCGGGTAACCTGACCCAAATGTGGTTAAACTCGAGTCGTCCGGCGGGCCTCGTAGCTCAAGTGGTTGGAGTGTTGGCTGTAATAAAGCCTTCCCCTTACTGCGTGGGTTCGAATCCCACCGGGGCGCCGAGTTTTTCACAGTTGGCTCAATATGAATTATTAAAGATCTGCCAAAATATCTATGAATAGACTCATCGCCACCTCTCGTCGGGGCTGACCGTATTGGTTGTGGAGCATGGCCCGTTCAAGCATGAGCTTCGGTACAGGTCGTGACTTTTTTAATACTGACGAATATTTTCTGACTTCTAGAGGGAGAAATAGCGGCAAACTGTTGATTACACATTCAAAAAATGAGCCTTCGGGGAGTGGCAAAGTTGAATCGAGTGGTAGCCAATGCAGTCTTAAAATTAACACCAGTAGTTATCTTTTCGTACGAATTCTGGAGAAAAGGTATGCTCAACACCAATCAGAGACGCGCCAATCTGTGGATTCAGACCTTCAAAGATCAAATGCTATGAGGATAAATGTTTCCCGACTCATGAAACACCCAGTTTGAAATTACCATGCATACCGATCAGGCACAAGTGGCGCCCAATGGACCCAGTAATGTAGGCATGACCGGAATGGCAAGAAGCACCTATACAATTTGTAAGCATAGATGATCCTGCTCCACGATTCCGTGCTCAGAACGGCAACCACACCCCCTGACCGGTGAGGGTGCCGTATTGCCTAAAATAACCCCCTACCTGCGCCTCCTCTCAAACAAAAAGGTCCTACGGAGTGGACGACATACTGTCCCGTAGGCTGCGCAGGCCAACTCAGGTCGTTTTCCCTCTAGAAGCTGCCCCCCCCCCCCGGCTGATTTGTCACGCTGCCCTCCTGTCCGCCGCACGCTCTCTATCGATTTGCCGCTGGGACGCGCGAGGCTTGTCACTAGCCTCTCGAAGCCAATCAATGCTGCCCTTTCCTCTGATTGGCTGGCGGACGCTGAGGCAGAGCGAAAGACGCACACACGGGCTGGGGGCAAAACACCTTAACGGCGGACATAGGACGATAAGAACTTGTCTGGAGAGACCGTCATTCCTAACTTCTGATTTGGGAATCGCTGTGCTCATTAGTGTAATTATGGGCCGTGCTGTCGACCATATCACTGTCGGCAGGCCAGTCGTGTGTGGCGCTCATAGACGGATTCTTTAGCCTTACCATCTATTGCGGCCGAGTTCATGTCCGATCGTCTTGACATTGGCTGTTAAAATGTGGTTGTGTAGCCCCATCTGACGGACACAATACTGTTGCGGCCAGGGGTTGTGGTTAGGGATAAGGGGTTAGGGCAACTATTTCTCAACCACTCAAAGTACAACCGTGCCTACCCAATAACTTTCATTTGCGTACAACTACTTGACCTGGTCGCCCGTGGGGTCCCCAGTCCTACCTGTAAAAATCCCCTGATATCACCGGTCCCGTATTACCGGTTGCTGGGGTCGGTTTACTTCAGGTGGGGCTACATAACCACATCTGACCCATTGACTTGCTATGGGAGCCCGGTGGGTGGGGAGGAAAGTTTGTGGTGGATGCTTCGCAAGTCGGCCATCGCTATAAACTAATTCACGCCTAAGTCACCGTCCTCCGCGTCCGCCTTTGGACACACGTTAAACGTCCTCCCTCGCAACGTACGAACTGCTTGGTTTTCAGGTAAAGGAATCTGGTGTTATTAGGGGTTTTAGGGGCAGGAAGAGTCGAAGTGCCCAAAAGAATATCGGATGTGCTTAATGAAGAAAAGACATGGCAACATATATGAGCTGTCCACGGGCGTCCTGAATTCGACTTCTGTTGGTGAGAGAATAAGTGGGTCGGACTGTAAGCATGTGCTATGTCAGTATCAGCAACCCATGGCCATCGCAGCCTAGTGTGCGCTGGCAGTTCCCTGACATCTGTTCCCCTGCCGGTAGTTGCGTTCGCGCTCCCGCTGGGTCCACAAGTGGTGGGCATGGCTGCCCAGTCATCATTCTCGTCCTTCTGACCCCTGTCAGGTGTTGTTGCTGCTGTTGTTGTTGGTCAAAAACCTGGTCATTTGTTGTGTGGATCAGGGGTTGTAGAGTGGAACGCCGAGGTGTGGGCTCGACCGCTCCCCCGCATCCTGTCTTCTTGACTCTCAGGTGGGAGTGGAGAGGAGAGAGTGCGTCAGATGCTGCGTAATTCTACTATCACTACAATTCACGCTTAGTCACCGTGTCTGCTTCACCTTTCAGTTGAACACACAGTGGACATCGTCGGACAGTGGACATGGTCGGACTGCCGGGTCGGACTCTGTAGATGCGTTACCGCGGGTTGTCGCGCTCGCAGGAGTAGGATCTGCGAGATAATCTGGGTTTTCACGAAGAATGCAACAGGCTAGACGCAGACAGCTGTATCGCGACCGTTACCGATCATCGGTACGTCATAGGTCTGGTGGAGTGAGGCATATAAGCCTTGCAAGTAAGTGTGTGGTCTTCCCTGTCGTGGTTAGAATCTCACTCGGTCCCATTCTGTCCGCCCGTCAGCTTGTTACTGACGAGGCTTTTGCCAGATCAGACTTGATCATAAATGTATCAAGTAAAAGCATTGGAAAAGAAAGGAAAAACGCACGCTGCTAAGGAAACGATTATTACCGAGTGACATTTAAACGTATGGCTGAATGGACACCCAATCAAAGGCTAGTGCGCCACCCGGCAGAAAGTGGCCTATGACTATGCCTCCTAGAGATCATTTTCACATCTATTTCCCTTCATGTTTGTCATCATTTCCCGTAAATGGAGACCATAAATGCATCTAGGCGTCTAGAAAAGGAGCATACCATGTCTTCGTTCATATAGGTTAATAGTCAACTCTCCGTAATGCACCATTACTCAACTAATGCAAATACTCCCTAGAGAGATGGCTCATATATTATGACTTGACGCCTCTTGAGAATTGCTTTTGGGACAATTATCGTCCTACCCTGCAATTCAGGTCTAGACAGCAGAACGGTCAGATATCGGGGTATTTAAACGTACGCAGAGAAGGGGAAATTGAGGGTGAAAGTTGGCTCACCTTAGGAGAGGGATAGCAGGAAAAGGTGCATATAATACGGTCCGGATACTGTTCTCTGATCTTGCTTAGCAACAGGGTACCCATTCCGGCTCCGGTGCCGCCACCCAAGGAGTGAACGACTTGGAAACCCTGCAGGCAGTCACACGTTTCACACTCCTTCTGAACTATCTCCATCACACTCTCGATCATCTCGGCACCATCCGTGTAATGGCCCTTAGCCCAGTTATTTCCGGCTCCGGCTGTACCGAAGGCGAAGTTGTCCGGTCGAAAGAGGCTTCCGTAGGTGCTGGCTCGGATCACATCCAGTGAGCCTGGCTCGAGGTCAGTGAGAATACAGCGTGGCACCATTCGACCGCCGGCAGCCTCAGTGAAGTAGACGTGTATCCGCTCAATCTGTAGATCAGAGTCCCCGCGGTAGTAGCCATCTACGCTAATGCCGTGTTCGTCAGCGATGACTTCCCAGAACTAGAGAGGTTATGTTGAGACAGTTTAAAAGGACTACCTTGGCGCCCATTTGGTTTCCGCACTGGCCGACCATGATATACACAATTTCCCGCATTTCTGGCGTGCGTCTTCAAAGGTTTTATTTTAGGCAGGCGGAGAGGCGGCGTGCCTGGCGTGTTAGAGGTACACCCACGAGGAAAGCGCGTTGTCTATCGATCGATTTTTTGTCCAGGTTTAGGTCATCACGTGCGTGCCTCCCACGCTTATCAAGCCCCGTAAAGGCACAGATCGGGGAGCAGCCAGGTCCATTTATCTACCCTCATCTTCTTCCTCCTCCTGCGACTACTACTACTACTACTACTACTACTACTACTACTACTACCACCACCACCACCACTACTACTACCACGAATGCAAATATCAATTTGGTGCGTGGTATAATTGCCGCAACTGCCTCGACCGGCGATGTCCACCGTGTGCCCTACAGCAAGGTGAAGCAGGCACGATGGCTGGTGCGTTAATTAGTTCACAGTGAGAGTAGACTTGAGCAGCGTCTGCTGCACTCTCTCCTCCCCACCTAGGCCTGGTGTCAAGACAAGGTAAAGAAGACTGGAGGTGAGGGAGGGCACAGATGGTCGACACAGCCGGACCCGCACCTAGGTGCACCACCACACAGCCTCTGGTTCACTACAAACACACGATTAGGATTTTAATCAACAACTCGTCAAGGGGTCAGAAAGATTAGGATGGCTGGGCAGCCATGCTCACAATCTGAATACCCGACGGGAGCGCATGAGCATGTGTCGGCAGGGAACCAGGTGTTGGAGAACTGCTAGCGCATACCAGGCTGCGAGAGCCACGACTTGCTGAATCATGACACTACTACTACTACTACTACTACTACTACTACTACTACTACTACTACTACTACTACTACTACTACTACTACTACTACTACTACTACTACTACTACTACTACTACTACTACTACTACTACTACTACTACTACTACTACTACTACTACTACGACCACCACCACCACTACTACTACTACTAATACTACTACTACTACTACACCTACTACTACTACGAATGCAAATATCCATTTCTTGCGTGGTAGAATTGCCGCAGAATTGCCCAGATTACCAGCCGGATGGGGGAAATTTATATAAAAATACATTCAGACCTTGTTTTCTATGGGGTTGAATGTTTGGAAGAAAGGAGAAGATGTGAGACCAAAATCGGGTATCGCAGTCAGTTGTGGTGGTGGTGGTGCTGGTAGTAGTGGTGTTGGACGTAGTGGTGATGTTGGTCAGATGCGGTGCTGACTATTCGGGTTGGCATTGCACTGAATTCGGAAACACCTCAGCACCAATAGGTCCGCATGCTCATGCACGTGGGTTCCAAGCCGTCCTTAGGGCAGCTACCATCATCACCACCACCACAACTGATATCGCCAGTGAGGACTTCTGTCATCGGCCATCACCCATTAACCAGCATTGTATCTTCAGCCCCAACCTATCACCATTGCAACCGCACTTAAACAGCAGATATCGGCTCAGTTGGTTACTTACGAATTCATCGCAAAGGTCGGCAAACCAGTGCCGGTAGCTATTACACACACCGGACATTCCCATCTGACCTGCCCAGGTCACCTCAGGATACCCAGCCATTACAGTAATGTCTTCATAAAACAACACCCCAGACTCCACCGCAGCAGCTCCTCCTACTGGAGGCGTCGTTCTCTTTTCCAACACCTTGCCTCCAATGACAAAACAGTGTCAAGGACAACCAACTTATCCGCCTTCGACACAGTCGCCAGGAGGGGATGTAGGTCCTCCTAGAATTTGTCCCTTGCGGCGTCAGGGCTGGTCATCGGCGTAACGACTGACGATCGGTCCTCACTACGATTCTCGAAGGGCTGCTCGAATCTCATGCGTGGGCGCATCTTAGAAGTCACAGGAGCGGGCTGCAGATGCCGACCCAGCGCAATACCAGCCCAAATAACCCGCATCGCATTTCACAAAATGCCATGACCATAAGTAGGATCACTAGTGAGGACTTCTGTCATCCCGTTTACCATCATCCATTCACCATGAACGTTGATTTGGCCCCAACCTGTCGCCATTGCGGCCGCACCTTCACAGCCGTCATCAGCCTGGTCAGTCATTTGCAAATTACTCGCAGAGATAAGCGAGTCAGCCCAGCAACTTGTTCTACGTGGACACGTGCCAGTTCGACTGTCGTAACCGACGATGCCCATCGTGTGCTCCACATCCAGATGAGAGCAGGTACAGCAACTTGCGCGTGAATTGGTTTATTGTGAGAGTAAACTTGCGCGGTATCTACAAAATTCTCTCCTCCTCCCTACCTGAGTCACGAAACCCGGAGGTGGGAGAGGCAGCAAGTGTCTGGCGCGGCCGAGCCTGCACCTAGACGTACCACCACACCCCCAGGTCCACAACAAACACTTGACCAGGATTTTAACCTACAGCAAAAATGGGGGGAGGGGCAGAAGGGGTCCCAGTGTGCGCAACGTGAGCCGGCAACTGTGTTTGCCACCGCACCCTAACACACAAATGCACTTTACTCTGAGCATGAAGCTACATCCAAACACTTGCCCGCACAACAGCTCTCCCTAGCACAATCTGCATCGCTTTCACGACAAGCATGCGCGCGAAACGTCCAGTGTCAGACCATGCACAACTCACTTAGGTTGGATGCATGTCCTTCGGTGCTGCGAGAATCGGCTGGTGTGCGGCACGCGTAAGCGGGCTGCTTGGTCATCCCAGCCAGTGCGCCCACGCCCACCTTTTACCGTAGGTAGGTGAGTGAGAGAGGAGAGCGCGGTAGACGCCGCTGCCGGACACATTTAATGGGGCGGCGGTGGACGTCGTCGATTGCGACGGCCGAATTGTGTGGTAGAGGGGTCGGCATGTTTTGTCGATTTCCGGGTACGTTCCCGGTACTTATGCCAAGCCTGTAATTTCTCAGATGATAAACAGTAAGTCACGCCCCTTCCCTCCCAGTTCCTCGAGGCGGGCTCACGTTATGGAAGTGTAGAAGTCGAGTCAATTCCAACGTTAGCCTTAGCGCTGGCAGTGAGCGTGTACCAGGCCCTCTCACGGGCAGTTCGGAGATGACAGACAGCACGCTTATTTGTGTTATGATCTTTCTTGTGTGGGCGCTTAAACTCTTGGGTGAAGTGACTAACTAGTCGAGAGTCGAAGTCCTCACCTCCACCCAAATGGGTGTCTTCGGAGGTAGACTTTACTTAAAAGATGTTATCCTCGATGGAGGGGATGGACACATCAAAAGTACCACCGCCAAGATCGAAGATGAGCACGTCGCGTTCAGAGCTGACCTTCTTGTGGAGTCTGAAAGCTATCGCAGCGGCCGTCAGTTCATTAATAATGCGCAGACCGAAGATGGCTCCTGCGTCTTTCGTGGCTTGACGTTAACCATCGTCGAAATATGCAGAACAGTGACAACAGGGTCATCGACCGTCCTGCCTCGGCGGTTTCTTTTATTTTGACTGGGCGCCTAACCTGACGTTAGTCAGGCGAAGATTGGACCAAACCCGGCGTTGGAGTCGGAGATTGAACCAGACCCGGCAGCTTCAATCTACGCCAATTTCTTAGCCTGTAACAAACCTATCAAGCATTCATTTCTCACTGGGGCAGCTCTAGAAATTATCGAGCAACTCCACAAACCAGAGACCAGGCTCCGAGAAACCCGGACACTACACTCCATTTACCTATTTCGTCCCCCCCCCGCCTACCCTGAGGTGACTGCACGAATACCGCACCTCCTAGAAACTGGAGTAAGTCATAGAGGTTGGGATTATACAAGTCGCTGATTCCTATTTTTATAAGAAATGCATATAAAACCATAGAATCTAGAATGCATAACAGGCAATCTGGATGTCGTCCAGGGGGAGGGGAGGGGGCTAGAGGACTAGTCTGAGAGAATGCGCACAAGCACGACGTTGGCGCCGCGAATGAAGAGCTGTCCACTGAGGACGGTGGTCCATTTTGCGCCGGTGCAGGTTCCGCCCTCCGAGCGAATTACCTCGGCCACAGAGGGGCTCCATGAGGAGGCACCGGGGGCTCCGAACGCGGACGCGTCAACCTGCACAGCTCGATCGACCGGCTGTGCTGGCGCGGACGGCGGGGAGGAGGAGGAGGGAGAGGGCAGATGCGGCAACAGGGTTTCCTCGCCGATGAAGGGATCCATGAAAGCGAGGGACTCGTAGACAGCGGCAGTTTCTGTTGCTATAAAACAGACGGGATGGGTATGATGATGACAACTTGGGGATAAACGATACTGCAACAGGAAGGAGAAAGTGAGAATGCCGTGCGGGTTTGCATAGGCCAAGCGCCCGATGCCAATATTAAGGGACGGCTGTGTTATCAGGCAAAAAAGCGAGATTTGGCCTGGGCGTGCTGAAGGTAGACACTGGTAGAACACGACGCACTGTTGGGAACATGTGAATGCGCGCTGGAAAATCGCTGCGATCCAGGGGACTCCCGTAAACCGCATGGCAGCCTCTCAGCATGTCGCCGGTTGTGTATGCAATCTCCTACTGACAACGGCGATTGGCCTTTGATCCAAGGCTCCAAGACAGTAAGCCTGGAAAGCTGTAGGACAGAAAGTTATTGACAGGGTAATGTGGCTCTTGCTTATTACCCTGGCCGGGAAACAAATTGCTGAACCACGAATGGGTAACAGCAGATTTTAGCCGACAATACACGAATAACGCGCCAACGGTCGAATGCACTCGGTTGAATACCTTGCGCATATTCCGAATGACATATATAAAGGCAAAAAGGTTGTTGAACAAAGAAAACGCACCAAAGCGAGGTGTGAGGGGAGCTTCGGTCCCATCGGTAGGTTGCCTATGACACAAACGCGCCTTCCTCAGCCGTTGACGTCGCTTTCGACCAGGTCCACTTTCCTATGAGAGTGCAGAACATTATGGCTCAACAGTACTTCGAATAGGACGTTTACCTCGCCAATAACTTTATGACCATGTCTGTCCGCTGTTAAATACATCTGATGAAGCGCACAGCGTGGTTAACATGCCTTGTGAAGCTTTATGAGCGCAATATGGAACTTTCGCAATGACACAGAAGAATAATTTTTCTTGAATGAGGAATGTGCAGGTGTGGTTTGTAAACATTGGACACAGGCGCTATGACGGGTGTAACTAACAATAAAAAAAATATTTTGGGATGCCGATATGTCTTATCTTCGAATAATTTTTTTGAGAAAGACGCAATGTACTACAACATGAGTGCAAAAGTGATATTTTTGTGCATGCTTTTCATGGACACCGAGAACCAATGAAAAAATAAACACTGATTAAGCAATCACTTTTAATGAGTACGGTTTCGGTAAGCAGCCGTAAAGGCGTGCTTTCAAAAGCCGGCATCCTGGTATGACTAAAGTATCTTGGGATAATGCTGTATGATATCCAATAATAACATCCAAATAATCCGTTATGGCCGATATATCGAATTCTGGAAATCCAGTGAATGTTTCACAAGCCTATCAAAATAGCTGCTGCGTAAAAAAGGACGCAAAGTGCACGGATCAGTAGAGCCGATTACCACTAGACGAAGACATTGACAAGGAATGTGTGAGGCTGGCACAATGCAAGACACTAAACAGTACTCAACAAAAGAGGAGCGTGTGAGCATAAATACTGGTGATATTGTGAGACCTGCAGGTTCAGGTGCTTATAGTGCACGTTCTGCTGATTTTCAAATCCCTACAAGAGATATTATTTGGATAAGGGCTGTCCAACCATTTTAGGCGGTTCGGTAGTCTGCCGCAATAGTTGCTGCACACATTGGTAAGACGCGTGCGATGTCGGCATGATGGCTTGGACGAGGCAACCTGACGAGAGGCCCACAGAAATGGCAAATATTCATAGAAAAACAAGCCCCTAGTTTTGTCGAGGAAACAAGGGACTCTTGTGATTGAAGGTTAGAATTGCTAGACCGCGCTGTCCTCCCAACAACGTTGTTGGCCATGCCGGCCTTGATTCGGTACAAACCTGCAAGCCCTAGAGGAAACGAAAGTGATCGATTTCATGTGGGTTTAGTAGTAACCCAGATGGTTCGGCAGCTTGAACTAGCTATAACGGATAGGGTCGCAAAGCTGGCGAGAACTTGAACATCACACGTAATATACCAGGATATAAATGATCAAAAATGCGAGACTGGACAATCTTTCTTACTGTTTACAAGTAGTATTGTCGATTTCGCGGACTCTGCGGTAATAATTACTCGCGTCGTGCCTTTCGACGAATGCTGGAAGTGGCTTTAAATTTGAATCTCTAGAGAAGGCATGCGCTTAAGTGACAAAACACCGGCAGGCAAAACGTCCGTCAACCGTCCCCAATCCATCAACAGGAATCTGGACCTTTTTGCAGCTTACAAAGTCCTACGTCATCACAATCGTAGAGCTCAGGACCGAACAACCACACCGAGCTTGAGAAGGCCATACGGAGACAGCCCGACGACGAGTTTACTCGGTGAAGAAGACCAAGAACCGCCAGACCGACCACCCGACACTGGTTCAGTCACCTCCCCCCGACGGAGTGCTGACTCACAAAGCACGCAAAAAGGCCGTCAACCATCGCCCGGGAGGCCGAGGCAGGAGAGGAGAGAAAAAATCGATCAGCATGAGGCCGACCAACGTGACAAGCCACCTGGGATTTCTGGTCGATTAAGTGCATTTTATGCTCTGACAATGGAGAGGCGACCAAGCTCTTCGAAACGTCAGCATCTTAGTAAACCTGTTCCGGTGAGCCCATCTTCTTCAAATAATCAACCTGGACCTCTAAACTTTGCCCATCTGTCGAATCTAAAGTTGGGGGAGAAATTGTGGAAAGAAGATTATACGACAACTGACATCTCACCTAGAATAGCTTATTGTCAATTCACATCCTCAGTCTTTATGCACCAAATCATACTCGCGGCAGAATAATATCTGAACACATCGGGCTACTTAAATGAAGTTAGTAGACAGGGCGTAGTAAATAAAGTTAATCAAATAAAGGATAAACAGGCACTTACACTGCGCAATTGAGAGTGATCGACCTTCAGTGAGAACTCTGTCACTTCACTGAGAATCTACGGTCCAAAACGGATTCGAATTACACTCTCGTCATATAAGCCTTCTCAAGCATCAAGTATAAACGTAAAGTCGATGTGAATAGTGTTCCCAGACCAAGTTCCAGAAGCGGTCGAAAGCGATGAGACGACCCGTCAGGATGGCCCTAATTTCGCGCATCCCTCTGGTCATTACCAGGACGCGAGATTTCTCGTTCATCGCGGTAAGCAGTCGCCTCATCGGACCCAGCGAACGCAGGCCAGTCTCATCCTGCTCCAGAGCTGGAAAATAGACGGAGGATTTTATAAAATAACAGCTCACTTAAAAAAGCCAGTGGCATTTTTAAAAATCTGGCTGGGTGGTGGAGGGGGGGGGGCGGGGAAGGCGTGGTTCAAGTGACAACGAGATAGGAAGAAGGTGCAGTGCGACAGGACTTCACTACGCAGGCGGGCGGCTCATTTGTCGTCCGAGCGTGCGGTGCGTTCAGGTTAGGGTTGCCCTCAGATCTCCCTTTATCACTCAGAAAAACAATAAGCTTGGCTTTGGTACCGCGTCATCAGAGAAAAAGCTGCAAAGGCAGAGCTCAAACCTGGACACTTTGACAAACGATACAGCGCTCTACCCGTTACGCCACGAGACTTGGATAAACACTGTACACCCGCGTGCTCTCCGATCAGCACCCCAAAACCCCCAATTAATGCCCCACTATACAATATGGTAATAAACAGTCCCGATAACGGTTAGTCTTGGGCATACGTTCGTTTAAAGTGCTTTAATTTTATGCTCAATGCCGACGTCGGGTAAACTCAGAGACCACAGCGAACAAAGATAATAAGACTTCGCTTTGAAAAAAAGGAAAGATCATACAGACGCATAACTTACACTTCCAATAGTCAAGCAGGGTATTTCCGTTCTTCTTCCTACTTTTGGGCGGTGCGCACTGTCGAGGGTCGGAGGAGCGGGTGAATGGCGACGGACCGAAGGCGCGCGGATCCTAAGGACACAGAAGATCGTCTAAACGGATGTCTCAGCAGACGAAACATCAGAGAGACCGCGAGGCCGAAGAATAACGACAACAGGGAAAAAGGAAAAAATGAGGCGTTCACCGGAAAAGGTGTATATGAGGTGTGACGTTTCGAGTAGTTGTTTCGTCTACGAACCTTCTTAACAGCGGACAGTCACGGCGCGGGACAATCGGGGTCGTCAACTATCGCCACGGCCGACGAAGGTGGGCGGGATTCAGGTCACGGTAACATGCGGGTCGGATGCAGCCCCACAGGCGTCATTGGCGGGCAACGCATCAAACAAAGTGCGCCATATAAGGAGAGCTGTGCGAATGACTTCGCAGTCTCTGAAGAGGAGTAGGCGAAGTCCCTACTCGAAACGTCAGACCTCTAATAAACCTTTCCTGGTGAACGCCTCATCTTCTGCTGATTTACCATCTGGGAATCGAATTTTCAGTACTATCGAGGGAAAGAGGTGTTGGAGATGTCCCAAAGGTATTTGTGCGACGTCAAACGAAAGAAAGTGGGACAAGGAGAATCAGAATAGCTGTCAATCAAAGTGCCGAAAGGTAGCAGAATCCCGCCGCGAAATGTTACCTACGAGCAGTCCCCAACGGTACCGCTGAGAAATAGAAGTCCATCTCGTGACATGCAGCAGCATTACAAGAAAAACAACCAAAGGTGTTTCTGTGGAGCACTGCTTAACAAAACTGGCGAAAGTAACAAACACAGATTAGGCTGTGGTAGGGGGCGCTCACCGATGGTTCTTGCGGAACTCACTCGTTCCGTTGTGCCTTATGGGCTCTCTCTCTCTCTCTCTCTCTCTCTCTCTCTCTCTCTCTCTCTCTCTCTCTCTCTTTCTCTTTGGAGCCCAACCAGCAGCCGCACAGCGGCGCATGATATAGACAGAATGTTATTACCGACAAAGACAAGGGAGACTGGAATGGCCATCGCTGGCTTATTAGCCGTCGTCAGCCAGTCATACCCAACCCCGAAGTGTGGAACACCCCAGGCTCGAACTCACGACCTATTAGGTAGAAGTCCACGCCTCTAAGTAAGTAAGTAAGTAAGTAAGGGGAAGGTCCACACATAACAGAATGCCGGGGGCATGAGTGCGAAGAGAAAAATTTTCGGAAGAAAGTAAATCAGGCTATGTTGGAGCGGTGAGCAATCGACATATGCAGCAGAAGTCTACGATCACTATAAACTAATTCACGTGCAGGTCGCCATCTTGCAACCACGGCGCTGTGGGGAACACGGTGCACGTCGTCGCGTGCGACCTGCGGACTGTCATCCACTTTGAATGGGATGCCTAATTATTATATAGTTCCTTGGAAATTCCCGATCTCGGCAAGTTGCCGCCCCCCTGTGCTGTAGGTACAATAATTCATCAATTTGGCGAATAGTATGGGCACACCAACACCTCGGTTCTGGCTGCCCTCTCGGGGTTACCCCTCTAGCTTTGGGCGAGGGCACCCGCTGGCTGGGTCGCTGTTGTAGAAACTAAACTTCAGTCTTTTGGTCGTCTGGCGGTTAACGGGGCGGGGCAACCTGCAATATCGGTCACTTCTCCATTGTGAATAGAATGTCTGAGGAGATCGAGTCCGGTGGTTGGGGAAATCCCTCAATCCTGTTCCATATGATGGTGACGGATGGATCGCCAGTACGCGATATCCACAACCCTGCCCTGTAGTGCTCAGATGTCATTTCAACAAGTCGTCACAACAGGGTCTCAGAACAACGGTTTGTTCGTGCGCAGCTCCACTAAAGGAGAACACCGTCTTCCAGCAGTAATTGAAGCGTTTAATAAAGTGTCTCCGCTTGCGTTTTTTAGTCCGTTTCGTAGAGGCCTTCTTTCAGCAGGGCTGGCAGATCTCAAACCGCGTAATATTGTTGGGTTGTCACGTTGGAAGGCACCGTCAGAGCGTCATTTGCAGGCCGAATACCGCACACCTGCTCTGCCTGAGCCAGAAGTTGAAACAACCACCGTCCCTGTTCTCACCCTGCTGTGGAGCACACGGTCACGAGAGTCCGGCAGCCGTTATTGGGAATGCGCACTAATAGCAAATGCAAACACCTGAGGGGGTACGCCTAGTTTCAGGCCCGCACCGCGCCTGTTGCGATCCGAGCTACCCCGTTTTCGCTTCCTTGATAAAATCCTGGTCAGTGTCCGTTTTGGACCAGGGGGTGCGGGTCTTCGCCGTGCCAGCCTCCGGTCTTCGTGACTCTGTCTTGACACCCGATCCAGGTGGGGGAGGAGGCGCGGGTGCGCGAGATGCAGTGCAAGTCCACCGTTACTATAAAAGAAATCATGCGCAAGTCACCGCCCCTGTTCTCGTCGGTCACGATGGTCGAACAGGTGTGTCAGAGCCTCAACGCTACTGCCAAAACCGTGACGATCGAGGGAGGGGCCTTTAGGACACTGAGTTGTAACGAGCATATATGGCCGAAGACCAAGTTTTGTTAAGAGGGAGAGAGAGGGACGGTTTCTCCGGGTGTGCCGAAGATTTGTGCGTGAGAATTGTGTGTTTTCCTCTTAAGTGTGGTGAATCGGTCCACCCACCCCCCGCGGTGGCAGTCGCCAGCTCCACGAACAGTTAATATTGTGTGGCCTCTGCTACAGACTAGAATTGCAGCAAACTGTTTATTGCCTCCACATGTTCCCTTATTAAACACCTGGACTACTGATCGTTATGTGGAATGCCGATAAATGTAGTATGGCATGTTGCTATCCGATAAGATAGGCCTGTCGGCAACAGGGGGGACCCGAATGCCGGTTGAAGTAGGCACGACGTACTACGAGAAGAACCCCCAAGGAGCCCCGATAGTGTGGAGTAACTGCAATTAGGCGGGCCTACCAACCCTCTACCCAACAATGTATGGACGGCGCCGGCTCACGTACCTTTGTAACATCCATAACAAGAGCGTGGGAACTACTGCAGTACTCCATTTTCCGGAGTCGGAATGTCATTCGACGGTCGCGACAACAGAGTTTATCCATAGGCATGCCGCTAACGAACGTCAACTCCCGACCGTCGTGTCCAACGTATGTTCCACAGCAAGGTGGAGCTGGCAATGTGACTTGGGCGTGGTTTAGTTTATAGAGAGCGTAGACTTTCGAAGCATCCGCCTCACTCTCACCATCGGCGGGAAATCAAACAACCGATCCAGCCCTAGCAGGGCCACTGAGCTGAAAAATGGCGTGAGCGGATGCCAAACCACGGCCCCAACCGGACGCCAGTCGGCGTTAGAATGAAGGACAGCAATATAGCATGGATGAGGCAAACGAAGAGAGCCTCCACTGTGCTGAAGGAGCAGCGCAGACTTGCACATGAATTGGATTATACTGAAGTAGACTTGTGGCACCTCTCTCACCCTCTAGTTCCACACCAATCATATTCGAATGGCAAAACAGAGCCAAGATAACTGATGATAGATAGGTAAGCAGCGGCGGATATGTCCCAATTCATGTCTACGCGTGCTCCACACGTGCTGGACCCTACATGTATGTAAAACTAACTCCACGAGGCGTCAGACGTTTCGAGCAGTTGCTTCGTCTACCCATCTTCAGAGACTATGATTCAGAACACGGTGGCATGCGGGTCGGACGCAGCCACACAGGCGGCTCACGCATGAAACAAAGTGTGCCATATAAGGAGAGCTGTGTGCATGACTTCCCAGTCTCTGAAGATGAGTAGGCGAAGTCCTTACTCGAAACGTCAGGCCTCTTATAAACCTCTCCTGGTGTACGTCCCCTCTTCTCTTGATATGCCACCAAACACGGGTCTCACCACAGCGAGGGGGCCATTGCGCCTGAACTTCAATCCAGAGAGACAAAGTAGTCACGTCCGGTACTAACTTTCTAGGCCACAAAATGTGTTACGTCGCAGTGGCTATAGGGCGCCGGATAGACCTCACTCTTGCTAAGAACACCCCAATATGCCCACACACACAGACCACTATGAAGGCGTTAGAGCATCAATGGCGGAATTATACGCTCCCACCACCCCAAGTAGACAGAGCTGTTATGTTCGCCTTTCTCCGACACCACCACCATCACGCCATCTCTCTGAAGCAGCAGGGTCGGATGACAGCACTGGACAGAACATGGATGGCAGGTTTACAGCTGGCGTAATCGCTAGCAGGCGTCAAACAAGCAACGGAGCGGTCGCACAAAGAGCACAAAAGAGACAGTCATCTGCAAGGCGGGCGCCTTAAGAGAGAGAGAGAGAAGGGCAGACCGATTTTGTGAAGATACTCATATTCCTACTGGCGCACGCACTGGAGGTGTGCCCGCCAGCGCACATATATGTACAGAACATCTAATGTGTGTGTGCGTGTGTGTGTGTGTGTGTGTGTGTGTGTGTGTGTGGATCTGAGGTGAGAGGCAGAAGGTCATCAGGAGAGGTCACTACTACGGGTGGATATCAGGGACCGCAAATCCTCGTCATGCAGGGCAGGTTGCTGCCCACGTTGTGGCAAAAATCGATAATCCACATCAGCCGAATAGGGCAGTGCCGGTGAATCCGCCGCAGGGGGAGGCGGAGGAGGAAGGGGAGGTCTGGCGTCCAGCGCCACACCTGCGCACAGCACCCGGAGGTCCTCGTCCTGCGGTTGTGCAGTGTACACTGAAAAAAAGTCATGAAGGTCACAACATTAAGAATTCTATACTTCGAGCAAACTTTATTTCCTAAATCTTTGACACTGGTTCCCCAGGTCGTCGTCAGGCGTGTAGAAAGTGTGACAAACCGTTAAACCGAAAAATCGATATTGCATCATCAGTGATGAGGATGCGTCGATGCTGTGGGCTGACGTCACGTTCTGATTGGCTATCAACTTTTCCACTTTTCACTGAGATTTGTGTACAGGCGTCCAGATGCATGCGCCGACTGATGCATGAGTCATCAGAGTGAATGATCTCTAAAAATTATCGGCCTTTCTAATATGGGCAGAGACCGACAATGCGCGTTTTACCCCAAGCAAATTTGTGCCCAGTTTCTAGAGTATGCACGGCGACTTGGGATAGGTGGTTGTTCCGCCTCTTTACTGCCAGTTGGTGTTAATGCGAGCGTGTAGAGGCGGGTTTCTCGGTTTCACCACAATATACTGCATTGCAGGTGCCACATGGAATTTTATAGACGACTTCTTTTTTTATCTAAACAGCCTACCCTATCCTCAGGACGTATAATCTGGTTGTGCAACACAATAGTAGGTATGAACTAAAGGCTATACTTATGTTTGAAAAAAAAACAGAAACGTGCGGGCTTGTTAAAATGCACGAAGTAGGGAACGCTCTGGACAAAATAACTAACCCGTCGTCGTCTGTACGGGTTCGTTGGGGGTCGGAGCACTGGTTGGCGCGGAAAAAAGGCTTTCCACCGTCTTCGCCTGAGATGAGACCGTGGCCGATACGGGGCTAAAATGGACAAAAAAGCGACCATGAGGGGAAATGAGCGGCTATTCCGTGTTGAATTGCACCTGGTGCCAACGACGAATTAACTCTAAATAATGTACCTAGAAGAATCCAGTCGGTAAATAGCGATAACGTTAAAAAATGCACACAAATGCTCCACACACGAATGTGGCTTTCCAAATAAACCTGGCATGTGAATGATAAAGATGCCCACGTGTAAACTAAACATTCAGAAAGTCCCCCAGCCTATATCGATACGTGAGAGCTGGAGTAAAGATATAGAACACGACGGAAGAAAAAGGCCTCGAACTGTCGGACGTCTTCGGACTATATCCAGCAAAAACGGGGCCAATGTGGGGGGGGGGGGCGTGCGAACCTTGTGCGTCCCGCTGGCTTCAAGACTTCAGTCGCAAAAGGCAAGGCGGGTGGGGAGGGCGAGGGTGTGGACGGAGGGGGCATCTCACGAATAACGAGCACGAAGAGGCCATCATCACTGCTCAATTCGTCGCTGCCGGGGAGGGGCAGTTCAAGGGATTCACAGGGCGCCCAGAGGAAGCATCCTGCAGTTCGGGGCAAGCGAGGTCCAAGGACTGCGGCCAGACAGCCCGCTTGCAGCTTCCTCTGTACACGTGCAGCCTGCGCAAAGTTGGCGGAGGAGGAAGGAGGCGTGGGCTCCAGCCGCAGCATCAGCACCTCCTAGACGACAGAAATGACGGCCGGTGAGGCAGAAAAATAAACGACAACGTCTAGCATTTCGTTCGAACAGTTTATTAATGATGTTACATTACTGCCTGCACTTCAGTAATGTTTTTTATTATTGTCTCATGTCTGTTGAATGTGTGTTGGCATCTAATTCGTCTCCCTCAGAAATTGGGCTCAGCGTGGGCTCCAGCCGCAGCAACAGCACTTCCTAGACGACAGAAATGACGGCCGGTGAGGCAGGAAAGGAAACGGCCTGCGATAATAAGTGTACAGTGAGTGACCGATTTCATGAAATGCTGGCTGAAATTCTGAAATGAGTTTTCGACTAGAAAGGATTACTTAGGCGCGGTCGTAATACTGGTTATCTTGCGGCATAATCTTATAACATTTCGGACTCGGCAGTATATCAGCTTTTAAATGCACTGCTCTTCAATCTCATGTAAAAACCATACTCGGTAAAAAAATGACTACTTAGATAGCATGCATTTTTCAAAATGACTCCCGGTGGTCTTGCAAATTCAAATATATCGTATAGAAACCATAAGCAAAAATATGCTTTCTTGTAGTCAGTCAATAGAGAATCACGTCTTCTTTGTATTTTGTACTCGAAGAAGGAGTCTAATTAGGTTTTAAAAAGTTTCGAATTATGAGATTTGTAAAGACCGCGCAATGTCCATTCACGTGGCATCTTACATGGCCGCTTACAACGGCGCCTCATGAAATGTACAACATAGTCCGAATCCATTGCAAAATTTTATGGACTCTGTATGGCATTATTTTAAAGAGGTAGAAAAAGAAGTGATTTTTCTTATGCGGAACGCATGCACCTTTTATACTGAGATCACTAAGTGCTAATGTAACGACTGATTAGAATCCAAATTATTCGGAAATTAGAAAACTCTTTTAAAACCTAATTATACTCCTTCTTCGAGTATAAAATATAAAGTAGACGTGATTCACTATCGAACGACTGAAAGAAAGCCTATTTTTGTTTACGGTTTCTATAAAATATATTTGAATTTGCAAGATCATCGAAAATCGACGGGAAAAATGCATGCTACATAAGTAGTCATTTTTTACCTAATACGGTTTCTACGGGAGATTGAAAAGCAGTGTATGCAAGTGCTAGTATCCTGTCGAGTCCTAAATATTATAGAAGTATGCTGCAACATAATCAGTATTACAGCCGCGCTTAAGTAATCCTTCCTAATCAAAAAACGCATTTTACAATTTCAGCCAACATTTCATGAGATAGGTAACGCACTGTAGTATCAGGGCCTAAAAGTAGACAAACCATCGTTCCAGACTGCTGCGCTTTCTGTAGATGGCGCGGTATGTTACGGGCATCAATGCCGCCGAGAACACGGAGTGCTGGTGGGAGGGGAGGATCGGCGTTGGCTCCACCGGCAGTTGGCACCCGAGCGGCTAGACGTGCTGAGCAGGAGAGCGTACCATCTGGCCGTCCGCTTCGTCGAGAGCTGAGTAAGATATCACCAGACCAGCAAAAGGCCTTAGCAGAGGCAAGAGCGACAGGCGAAGGCGATGTTGGCGGAAACGGGAGACTCAAGAGTCCCGTCGATAAATGGGGCTGGCGAGTCGTAGTCGAATTCACGAAAGTTTCCGCGTGCAAATGATCCAGAGATTTTCTACAGAAAGTAGAAACGGCACATTAGCTGAATCCATACAAAGTTAATTAAACAGTCAAGGGCACTTTTATTACCTTTTTACCGCTGGACAGGGAAGAGAGAAGCCGTCGGAGGCGGAGATATTATCAGGCCGATGTCTCTTCAGGTGCTGAGACTAGAAAAATAAAAAACAGCCCGACTCAATAGACT